CTTTCCCTGGTAATTCTGAAGCAGAAAGAGACGGAAAACGTTTTTGTTTGCTCCGTGCAGTTTCATCTCACACTTCTCTCCACGCACATCTGAGAAAGCTGCATGATCAAACACAACAAAACGTCCACCCCTGCAGGTAAAGAAGAGGAACAAAACAAGTGGTGAGTTTTAAGGGGATGAGGGTTCAGATGTCAGGAAAACAACCAAAAGCTTTTAATGAGTCTTCATGTGCCTCAGGCACCTTAAACTTCGTCCTTGCTAGAAGTCTCAAAAGGCCAGAGAAGAAAGAGGGGACTTACTGAAAAAGGTAGAAATACTTAGCTCTGTCCTGCCAAAATTCAATTTGACAGCTTACAGCTTAAAAACAAAAATGCCCCTTCCCCCAAACCCCAACACAAACTAAACAACAACTCTTAGTTTCTTGACAAACCAGTGATTTGCACATTCACTAATCTTCATACTGTCCTTTGAGAAGAAGTTTGTTACCAGGTAAAACTAAAATAAATTGTTATTATTAAAGGATTTCACATCATAGAAATGGAAAGGCAGAATAGAAACGTTTCACTAGGGACCAGAAGATATGGTATATTATCATATGCTGTAATTAAGAGTTGGGAATATCAGATTCCACATAATTGCATGATACTCAAAAAATGAAGGGTTAGGAGAGTTGACTTGACAAGTGCTGCCACTTGCTGGCAAGCAGAGGGAAAGGACTTTTTCACCAAAGCACAGACCAAGAAAGAGACACGTATTTTAGAAGCAATTTAGGCAGCAATAATGGTGTTGAAGCTCTTACTCCTTTGGCCGAGACAGGAGCAGACAGTCATTGAAAAGATGTAAGTAGATGGGACGGGTGGTGACTTTCCATTTTGGACTCAAGGTGTTGAAATCCAGTGCTGTCAACTCGCCACACTTCACAAGTCGCCTTGACTGTGAGATGAGTGGGAATATCTGCAAATAGAAATGAACATTTATGCCAAGTGTGTACAAGGAAATCGGTATCCATCCATTTCCATTTGCGCCTTTCTCTAGAAGAAGCATGCTTTTATCTCTCCAGCTGGACAAGAGTAAGTCATGGTAGACACCTTCAGCTGAAGGCTGACATGAACAATTGGGCAAGGGAAGTACTGAAGAAGACCTGACCTGTGTATGATACTCCTGTTCAATAGTTCTGTGTATATTGGAGAGGAAAACAAAAAGCAAGCACAAGTGTCTTTGTGAGTACTGAGAGACAATACGTTAGGCTAGAGCAAGCTTTGGGGAATGGGTGAGCTCACCTTGCACTCAAATTCAATCTTCTGGCTGAGGTAGATCAGCTCTTCAGTGCTCTTCATGCGCTGGACATTTTCATTGCAATCCTTGATGAGCTGCAGAGGAAAACAGACAGTCGGTGAGGTGGGAGCAGAACTGCCTGGTAGGATCAGTACTATGCCCTGGAGTCCCTCAAAAATCAATTTAAGTGACAATTCCTTAGGCACCCTCCTGAAAAAAAAGCATTTTTCCCACCAAGCATACTAAACTTTCCCATACCTACAACAAGCATCCTTCTTTCTTTAGATTAAGTCTCTGTGTTAAGTATTTTTTTAATTTTGGGATACTGGGGGGGATGCTAGAGACATCACTCCTACGTGACAGAGGTTGAATTTCAAGTCATTTGAAAGCAGCTCTTATTAGATGCTCCACTCTAAACACAAGATGCTGATTAGACAAACATCAGCCCCCATTTTCCACAACCCAGAGCTTGTTGCCAGTGTGAGGACAGGACATGATGAAACAGAGGAACTTCAGCCTATAAAAACTGCCTACATAGCTGCCCGAAGCGATACAGGGCAGCTGCACAACAGTGTGGCAGAGATAAATGCAGGCTTGAACACAGCTGGAGTGGAAGGATTTCAGTGTGGGACATCTTGCCCGTCCACCTCAGACTGCAGTGTTTTGGGAGCTGTGTCAGGCAGGTGCAATCCTAAGAGTTTTAAGGAGGTACACACAATGACGTGGGCCCTCAACATGAACGAGGATGAATAAAAAGGACAGAGCCACCTAGGTGCCCTGCAGATGCGTGATGCAGACTGGCTGTGGAGAATCACAGAAAATCCTGAGTTGAAGGAACCCACAAGGATCACTGAGTCCAACTCCTGACTCCACACCGGGCAACCTCAAAGCTAAACCATGTAAGAGTGTTGTCCAAAGACTTCTGGAACACTGTCAGTCTTGGGGGCCATGACCTCCCTTCCTGGTGAGCTCAGTCCAGTGCTTTACCACCCTTTCAGAGAATAACTTTTTCCAGTATCCAATCCGAACTTCCCCTGATGCAACTTTAAGCCATTCCCTCAAAGACTATCACCAGACACGAGAGAACAGAGCACCACTCTCTTCACTCCTCCTCATGAGGACGTTTGAGACAGCCTCCTCTAAGATGAATAAACTTAGTATCCTTAGCCACTCCTCATAAATCATGCCTTCTAGCCTTTTCATAATCTTTTTTTCCATCCTTTGGACACATTCTTATATTTTTACATTCTTCTTATACTGTGGAGCCCAAAACTGCACACAGTACTCAAAGTGAGGCCACATCAATGCCAAGTATAGTGGGACAATCACTTCTTTCAACTGATCAGCTATACTGGTCAGCTTAATGCATCCCCGGATAGTCAGCCCTCATGCTGCCAGGACAAATTAACAACTCATATTGAACTCACCATCAACAAAAAACCCCAGATCCCTTTCTGCAGGGCTGTAGGACCAGCTGATGGCCTTACCTTTTCAAGTGCATCATAGGCCTGTGTGGCTTGCACTTCCTCCTCAGACCCTGGCCGAGTTCTCTTCAGGATATTCTGCAAAACAGATGTTTTTCACAATGCAGAAGGGAAAACTGGACACATGTATCTTAAGGGGTAGGAAACACAAGGAGAAACCAAGATGTCAGCCTCAAGGGAGAGTAAAGCAGTGGTAGGTGATGAGAGGTTGAGGTAAGGCCAGAAATTTGAGATACTAGCAGAATGTCACTGATAAACTGCATTGAATGGGACATCACAGAAAATCTAATTGTATTAACTATCATGTACAAGTTATACAGCACAGGAAGCAAGCACTAATCCAAGCACAAACAGCCTTACATACAGAATTGTTATTTGCCTGATACTCTTTTTGTCCTGTTCAAAAAAAAAGGCTCAAATAATGAAAAAATAATTAAAAAAAAATAATTAATGGAGCTCACAATTAATTCATGCTGGTTCCCTATCTGGAATGCTCCTAATGGTCATCACTGCAGGCAGAGTAGAGTCTGATGCATAGCAGGCATTTGCACAATGACAAGTGGGCTTGTTTTTGCCAGGCCCTATCCACAACCTACACAACAGAGTGGCTTTAGAGCATCTTACTAAACACGTCACAGATGCAACACAAAGGGCTATGTGCAGGCAACCTACACAACAGAGTGGTTTTAGAGCATCTGTCACAGATGCAACACAAAGGGCTATGTGCAGTCTTTCCACCCAGTGCTTGGAGCTCTCTCACATTTAGATGGCTTTCAGACTTGGAGAAGGGTCAGCTTGTGAGAAACTGTAGGAAAGCAGAGAACCAACACAGTTACCTGCAGGAGGAGTTTGAGTCGAGTGATGCGCTGGAAAGGGAGGATGAGGAAGGATTTCAGTGAGAGGCGCTGACATACTGGATCACTTTCCAGTCTCTCCAGGACTTGCTGGAACCCTGCATTTCCATTTCTGTGGGAGTAGTAAAGAAAAAAGACATCCAGGCACCAGACCAAATAAACAGTCTTCCTAGTATCAGATTTCAGGGAGTGTTGGGAGTGTCAGATTTTGTCCCTGGGGCAAGAGGTGTAAAGAAACTGCCACTCTGCTGAGGAAGAGCACATATGGGTTTCTAACAGGTATAGGACTGCAATGCAACTGTTATTATATCTTACCTCCTTCTGCCACAGCCCTGTGGAATAAAAGCCAAAGTAACACGTACATTCCGATTCCCCCCTGTCAATAGGGCACCTCTTAAAGACAGTGGCAGTTTGTATTCCTTCCTTACACTGAAAGGTCCAGCTCCAGGGACTGTGTCCAGTGTCTGGAAACAGCTGCCTGCCTCTCTTGCTCCTCCTGAGAGGAGCTGCCTTCCCCCTGCAATGTCTCTCTCACCTTCGTAGACTTAGCTACTGACATGCAGTTCTCCAAACTGGGCAGTAGCAGATAAAAGGCGAATGGCATGACAGTAGCACCAGCCACCAGAACAGCCAATCCCACACCCTTGAAGAGATGGGCAAGAAGGTTGTAGGGTCAGCAGATGTTTCCTTAGACAATATCCTGGAGGTCCTTTCTGTGTGGAACTGAGCCTTCCCTGATGGGAATCAACTGTGAAACTAGATATCTCTCAGTCAGCAGCACTCAGCCACAGTGCCTTAACAGACTGCTGGGAACAGTGTCTTCTAGAATCTCTGTAACCTCACTGGAACTGGGTTGTTATGAAGTGAAGCAGTGCAGAAGTGGCAATGAAACCTTGCTCAGGGCTGGCCCTGTGCCTAAGCAATGCTTGGTTGTGTTACTGAGTACAGAAAAGGAGGGTAAAAGATGTTTCACTTCACCACTCAGAACAAGAGAGACCAAGTGCTCTCTGGTCCCAATATTATGAATCCATTTTAAGAAGACTCTTGGATAGCCACTCTAAGCTCACTGACAGCAGCCATATTTTTCTTAATTACAGAATGGTTGTTGGACGTTTCACTTGAAATGATCATTTTCTGGTTCTTAGTAGTCTGAAAACCACTATCCAGGACAGTAATTTTTGCTCTCTTTGGTAAAGAGAAGACAGAGAGAAGAACCTGCAATAGCATGAGACATTAACTATTCTTTCATAGTATCATAGAATCCTAGGGGTTGGAAGGGACCTCGAAAGATCATCCAGTCCAACCCCCCTGCCAGAGCAGGGTCACCCAGAGCACATCACACAGGAACGTGTCCAGGTGGGTTTGAATGTCTCCAGTGAAGGAGACTCCACAGCCTCTCTGGGCAGCCTGTCCCAGGGCTCTGTCACTCTCACAGGAAAGAAGTTCTTCCTGATATTCACATGACACCTCCTACGCTCCAGTTTGCACCCATTGCCCCTTGTCCTATCACTAAGAAAAGCTTAACTCCATCTTCCTGACACTCACCCTTTACATATTTGTAAACATTGATGAGGTCACCCCTCAGTCTCCTTTTCTCCAAGCTCAAGAGACCCAGCTCCCTCAGCCTTTCCTCATCAGGGAGATGTTCCACTCCCTTCATCATTTCACCTACACTACTCTCCAGCAGTTCAGCCCCCAACCTGTACTGGGACATGGTGTTGTTCTTCCCCAAATGTAAAACTCTGCACTTCCCCTTGTTGAATTTCATCATGTTTCTCCCCGCCCAACTCTCCAACCTATCTAAGTCTCTCTGAATGGCAGCACAGCCTTCTGGTGTGTCAGCCACTCCTCCCAGCTTAGTGTCATCAGCAAACTTGCTGAGGGTACATTCTATACCCTCATCCAGGTCGTTGATGAAGATGTTGAACAACACCGGTCCCAGTACCGACCCCTGTGGGACTCCACTAGTCACACACCTCCAACCAGATTCTGCCCCATTGACTACAACTCTCTGACTCCTTCCTTTCAACCAGTTCCTAATCCACCTCACTACCTGATCATCAAACCCATACCTGATCAACTTATCTACAAGGATGCTGTGGGAGACGGTGTCAAATGCTTTACTGAAATCAAGATAAACCACATCTACCGCTCTACCATCATCTATCCACCTAGTAATTTCCTCATAGAAGGCTATGAGGTTAGTCAAACATGATTTACCCTTGATAAAACCATGCTGACTGCTCTTGATGACCCCCATGTCCTTGATATGCCTAGAGATAAGACAAGATAGACAAGAACAAGTTGTTCCATCACCTTTCCAGGGATGGAGGTGAGGCTCACCAGTCTATAGTTACCCAGGTCCTCCTTCTTGCCCTTCTTGTAGACTGGAGTGACATTTGCTTTCCTCCAGTCCTCAGGCACCTCTCCTGTTGCCCATGACTTACCAAAGATGATGGAGAGTGGCCTAGCAATGACCTCTGCCAGCTCCCTCAGCACCCACAGGTATATTCCATCCAGACCCATCAATTTATGGATGTCCAGATTACTCAACTGATCCCTAACCCAATCCTCATCTACCAAGGCAAACTCCTCCTTTATCTTGACTTCTTCTGGGGCTATATGAATCTGGGGCTCATGGGGAAATCCTGCAGGAGTAAAGACAGAGGCAAAGAAGGCGTTCAGCACCTCTGCCTTCTTTATATCCTCTGTCACCAGGGCTCCCACCTCATTCACCAGTGGGCCAATTCCCTTTCCAAAGCTATGGGAAGGGAGCCTGCAGCAGCTTTGTCCTACTGTTCCAAATGCCATTGAGTGGCAGAAGGTTCCTGCTTGTTGTTCTGGGGGTGTAGTGTGAGCAGTGGCCAAAAGCCTGTACCTGCTGCGTTGCCCATCATTTGAACAGAGGTGCAGCAAGGAAGCAGAGAGGAAGAAGGGTGCAACAAATGAAAAAACTTACAGTAACCGTTGAAAGGTTTGCTCCTGATAGGTCTGGTTTGTTACATATGGTAGATACACTCTGCGGAACTCTGGGGCGTGTTTCAGAGCCACATCACACACGTGGAAGGTAAACATGTCCTCCTCAAACTTCTCCTCCAAGTCAAAGAGGAAACTGCAGAACGTGGTTGTGGTGCCATCATGGGAAAGGGAAATACCAGTGTCATTTAGTAAAGCAGGAACACCCTCAGTCCTCTAAAATCCTGACAGCCCACACATAAGCCCAACACAGCTCTTTACTTCTGGAGAGGGCATAATACCTGTAAAATGACAATTTAGGGCTGGACATCAGGAAGGAAGAAGCAGAGGCAGAAGACCTCTGTTCTTGAGAAAAAGACATGGTCAGGAGCCAACTGAAAATTAAGACATCACCAGAATAATCCCATTAGTAAAAATGAAAAAGGTAGCAGCAAACCTTACTAGCTCAGTGATACATGTAGCCAAGCCTTGCAGGAGAAAAGCAGAACAAAATCCTACAACTTTCAGGATTCTTTGCATGTGGGGTCATGTCTACATTTTATGACTTCTGCTCAATTGATTCACATTAGGTTCTGTCAAGTGATGGCTGTAACTTGCTTTTTTCTTTTTTCTTTTTTTTCTGGTCAGGGCACGTGCAGCTGCTTTTTTTGTCTCGTATTTGGCAGGAGGTTTGGGCTGAGGTCTAGTGAGTCAAGTTTAATTGTAGTTGAAGCCAACAGGGCATGGCTACAGTCGCACTTTGAACATTTTTATCTCCTGCAATGAGCTCTGTGCACAACTGCACCATAAAATTTGGGACTTAACACCAAGATTTGCATTGCTCTGTCACCTAAAAAGATGAACGTTCCTTTCAGGGCTGCACTGGGACGCAATCACAAAGTGCTCTGAAGGTCAGCGAACACACAGGACAGAGAGAGATGTGATGGATGGAAACAGATGGGCTGTGCCTGTGCTCGATGGAGGGTGTTAGTCCTGAAAGCAAAGGGCCTCGTCTCACCTGGCGCTGACATCGCGCACGTCGTGAAGGCGGGAGAAGAGCCACTGGCGCTCCTGGTTGGTGAGCATGGCCTGGAGCTCTGCGGAGCGCTGGAAGTGATCCACTGCCACGTTCAAGCTGCGCAGGTAGGAGGCCTCAGACATGATCAGCTCAAACTTGGCCTGGAGAGATGAAAGGAGGGAGCACAGCATCAGTAGCATCAGCAAGTCTGATGGGTCTTATGGAGAGGAGATGGGGCAAACCAAGAAAACCTCCCACTATGCGATATAAGTAGCATTTAATAACAGAAGAGAGACCCTTAGGTATGAAGGAAAAGCATGCAGTTATATATAGTATTTCTTTCTTCTGACGACAACTTGTGATATGACTTAAAATAGCTACTTGCTCTTGTTTTATTTCTTATTCCCCCTCAACTCCACTTTCACTAGGTTCTCTGTTTTACATACTCATAAATTTTCCAGCAGCTGCATCACCCACATTTTTCTCCTTCATCATGTTCCCCATGCCGTTGTTTTCTGCTCTTTCTCTGGGTCCTTCCATCCACTTTTCACAGAATCACAGAATCATTTTGGTTGGAAAAGACCTTTTAGATCAAGGAGTACAACAATAACCTAACTACCAACCATTAACCTAACTCTACCAAGTCCAGTGCTTAAAACATATTCCTAAGCATCACACTGAAAACAGTCCAGAGGAGAAGGACTGGGGGTGGCAGTGGACGAGAAGCTCAACATGAGCCAGCAACGTGCACTTGCAGCCCAGAAAGCCAACTGTGTCCTGGGCTGCATCAAAAGAAATGTGGCCAGCAGGTCAAGGGAAGTGATTCTCCCACTCTACTCAGCTCTTGTGAGACCCACCTGGCATACTGTATCCAATTGTGGAACCTTCAACATAAGGACATGGAGCTCAGGGAGAAAGTCCAGAGAAGGGTCACAAAGATGATCCAAGGGCTGAAGCACCTCTCCTACAAGGACAGGCTGAGAGAGTTGGGGCTGTTCAGCCTGGAGAAGAGAAAGCTCCAGGAAGACCTTACAGCAACCTTCCACTGCCTGGAGGGGCTGCAGGAAAGCTGGGGAGGGACTTCACAAGGGCTTGTAGTGAGAGAACAAGAGGTAACAGATCAAAACTGGAAGAGGGGAGATTTAGGTTGGGCATTGGGAGGAAGCTCTTTAGTGTGAGGGTGGTAGAACACAGGAACAGGTAGCCCAGGGAAGTTATGGAAGCTCCATCCCTGGAAGTGTTCAAGACCAGGCTGGATGGGGCTCTGAGCAACCTGATCTAGTGGGAGGTGTCCCAGCCCATGCAGGAGGGTTGGAAGTAGATAATCTTTAAGGTCCCTTCCAACCCAAATCATTCCATGATTCTATGATCTATACATCTCTTAAAACACCTCCAGGGATGGAGATTCAACCACTTCCCTGGGCAGCCTATCCCAGTATTTAATTACCCTTTCAGTAAATATATTTTTTTCTAGTATCTTATTTAAACCTCCCCTGGTGCAACTTGAACCCATTTCCTCTTGTCCTATTGCTTGTTAGTTAGAAGAGACCAACAACCATCTCACTACAACCTCCTTTCAGGCAGCTTTAGAGAGCAATGAGGTCTGCCCTCAGCCTCCTTTTCTCCAGACTAAACAACCTCAGTTCCTTCAGATGCTCCTCATAGGGCTTGTATTCCAGCCCCTTCACCAGCTTTGTTGCCCTTCTCTGGACTCGCTCCAGCCCCTCAATGTCCTTCTTGCAGTGAAGAGCTCAAAACTGAACACAGTAGTTGAGGTGCAGCCTCATCAGTACCCAGTACAGGGGGACAATCACTTTCCTAATGCTGCTGGTCACACTACTTCTGATACAAGCCAGGATGCTGTTTGCCTTCTTGGCCACCTGGGCACACTGCTGGCTCACATTCAGCTGGCTGTCAATCAACACCCCCAGCTCCTTTTCCTCTGGGCAGCTTTCCAGCCACTCTTACACAAGCCTGTAGTGTTGCGTGGGGTTGCTGTGACCCACGTGCAGGACCCAGCACCTGGCCTTGCTGAACCTCATACAATTGGTCTTGGCACACCAATGAAGTCTGTCCAGGTCCCTCTGCAGAGCCTCCCTACCCCCAGGCAGATCAACACTCCCGACTTAGTATCATCGGCAAATTTGCTGAGGGTGCACTCAATCCCCACATGCAGATCACTGATGAAGACATGAAAGAGAACTGCCCCCAGTACTGAGCACTAGGGAACACCACTTGTTCCTCAGTTCTTCTCACTTTCACCACCCTTATGGGGACTTGACTACAGCCCATCCATCTACTTTATCACATCTGCCCATTACCTCTTGCAGCTTCTGCTCATCTCGAGACATACTGAGGAGCACTCTGCTGCCCCGGATCATGGGGATGTCCTGCCAGAGGGATGCATTACATGAGACTGACAGACGTTGCAAGTAGGAGTCCTGGGGAGACAGCACTTTCCGCCGCAGCCGTGGGGAGCTCGGGAAACTCGACTCTATGTCCTCTGCAAAAGAATCCACTCTCTTCTGGCTTTGAATGGCCTTGTTCAGAACCACATCACTGTACTCTTGATACAGTAATCTTGCTGTGAAGAGAAGCATATACATTTATATTTTCTACAGCCGCTACTTGCCCTCTGCTTCCATCTGCAGAAACCTCTGTTACTGTCTCAGATTAGGATAACTGAATACGTTAGATCACATGTACCTGCTACAGGCAAAGCTCACCAGCTGCCTGAGTGGACTGTAAGACTCTGGTTTCACTGCCTCCACTGAACACTGCTCTCTAATGCCCCTTTCCTTGCTACCATGTGGCAGAAGCCTCTTTGTGCTCACTGCAAGGGTGAGAGATGATGGAAGAGGAAAGGGGTCTGCTACAGGACCTCAGGCAGAAGGTACTTACAGGAATTGATCAGTTTGGAGTGTCGACGTTTGAAGTTCTCCACTGCATCTGCAGGTTTCTTCTCTCTGTCAGGGAATAAGCATTCACTCTGTTTCCAAATCTAGAGCACAGCACCAGAGATGGCTTACCCAAATCTTAGTAACAGATGTGGCACAGCAAGGACCTCTCTTTCCAACAAGCTCAAGCTCCACATGCTTTACTTAACAAAGTTTGGCTTGATGGAAACACTGTCCTACAGGGACAGAAATATTTCTGTTGCAATGGGGTCCTCTCCCAGAGAGCACGGACAGAAACACTAAGTAATTTTACTGTAGTTTTCTACTCCTTATCATGATCTTTGGTGCCTCTAGGAACAATGGCAAGCATCAGTTGTCTGTGCTACAGAGGAATGGGGGCAAATTCTAAGGGGCTTTTGAGACACTTACCGCAATATAACGGTTTCTGAACTGACCGGTGGTTCCTTGTGTGCCTTGTGAGCTTCTTCCTCTGAAGGAACAGAAGGGGTATCTGCATGCAAGACAATTAACAAGTAAACATATGTCAGACTCCAGAGTTGAGCTCCAATCCTAATGATACACAGATACCACTTACCTATAATCCACCTAAATGGTACAGGTGCTCTCCTGACCTTTAGGGTCAGGAACTTTCTGCCTTTAATAGTCCTTGACACTACTTACACTTTACATCTGTTACTTAATCACATTTGCTTTCCCACCAAGGATAACTTTCAGAAATGACAGTAACTCTACAGCTTATATCTCCAGTTGCCCAAGCAAAGACACTGTCTGTGGACTCCACTTGGTGCTGCATTTCCTCTTTCAATTTGGGCCAGGCATTGGAGGATCAATGGATCCAAAGTCACAAGTCATGTCTGAAAGTCTTCTCTGGTTGCCGAGTCCCAAAAACACTCAGTGACTTCCGGGGCAGAAATGCTGGACATCTAACAAAGTCACTTTTGTGGAGTATCTTAGAAGGGATGTGGGCTGAGAATAAATGCTTGAAATTCAGTTCTCACATTGATGTACCCTGTGAGCATTTACAAACTCCTGTTTGAGACAGCTTCTGTTTATTTAATGGATAAAGTGTGGATTTTTCTTTTTTGTGAAGAGTTTAATCAAATAGGGTGCATATATATATATATAAACACACACACAATTTGTATGTATATATATATGTATATATCAAGTGCTTATATAAAACTCACTGGAAGCAGGAGAAGGAAGCAAGCCCAGACTGAGCTGCAAGTATGGGTCAGGGGAAAGACAGTACACTGCTGCCTTGAATGTTTTAAAATTTGTAATCATGAATTTACATGAACAAATCTCGATTCAAGTGCTGCCAAACCATTCACTCCCCTCACCACTCTCCTCCTTTTCCTCTGTGCCAAAAATCCAGCATGTTGTGGAGCTCAGAAAATAAACTAAACAAGAGCTGAGAAGAAGCAAGTATGTTTAAAGGCCAGGCAAGATATAATAAATAACAGACATGCATCTTGAAAGTAAGTACCATCTGAATGAACTGTATTACAGAAGATGCATTTGTGACATCAGTGATCTGGCTGCTGTGCAAGCTGGTACCTTGGATTTGACAAATTTTCATTCCTGTCTGTAATCTCCAATCCTAAATTCTCATGAAGATAATCTCTTTCAGAAGGTCAAGTTGGAACCTGGAGGTGTCAGTTGCAAAACTGAGGGAGGTAGCAAATAAACAAAGAACTAAAACATGCTGTAACAGATACAGGCTACCGAGGGTGTGTGCATGCGTTTTCCATACTGCTTGGAAACCAGCTGCTACTGCAGTGGCAGCAAAATGCAACGGCCACTTGACGGCAGCAGAGATGAGAAGGTCTGAACTGAGCCCTACCAAGAAATTCATTCCTGCAGGGAGGCCAAAATAGCCTGAGTAAGATCATTAAACATGGAGAAATGACAAGAGAAACTGGATGCCGAGTTGAAGGGTGAGGACTCCGTGAAGTGAGACATGCTCTCTGCTGCAGGTGTTAGTGTGAAATGAGGCAACTCAGCTCCAGAGTGCTGCCCTCCTCAAGAGACCAAGCAGTCTGGTTACAGGGCAGCAGAGAGGAGCTAGGAGAGAGCTGGGAGTGGAGAGCTTGGGGCAGGCCTCCAATGGGGCTACAGAGATGGAGTGAGGAGTATTACCAGAAAGGCATAAGAGCAATGCCAACTGCTCTCTATGACATTGCCCATTAAATTTAATCCTACGTTTTTGGCACCTGAAGTAAGTTGTGGGGGGAGGCAGAATGGAGGACAGGACTCACCCTGCAGAATGTCTGGTGGTACTGACATCCTCTTCAGGCCCTGACGGTGCCAGTCCTTACTTTTTACTCGGCGTTTAATTGGGTTCTCTTGATTGGCTGTCAGCTCCTGTGCAACCACCCTGATCGGTTTTTTGTCTGGCCAGCTTGAGGATTTTTCCAATGGTGAATGTCTGGGAGCTTCCTCCTTGGGTTGAACTACCAAGTGGTGTTCTCTTCCTCCTCCTTCCAGTCTTTGCTTAACCGTCCTCTTATCTTCCATTTTCTCTGTGATTGCAAATGGAGCTTGGATATTCTTTGTGTCCACACCAAAGATGCCTGCCTGTTGCTCCCACTGCAGTTCTCCTGAGACCTCCTCTTCTTGGCAGTTTGTTCTGGTAGTTGGTGGTGATGGAGGGCTGAGCTGGAGGAAATGGATTGGATTGGTGAATGCTAGCATTGAATGTGGCTGTGCAGAATCTCTGCTCTTGGAATCTGTGGATGTTACCAGGCCTTCCGGTGAGGGCCAAGAAGGGTGATCAGGAGAGGATTTTCCATACTGTACAGCTATCCCCTGGTCTGCTGTGTCAGAGCTGGTGTCACAGCAGACAGCCAAGGCTTCATTTCCAGTGGAAGAAAAGCTTTTGGCCAACAAACTGACCCCTGAGTCATCAGAAGTCTCAGTATCATGGGTACCTAAGTCATGAACATCCCACTCTCTAGTTATTGGAACAAGGTTATGTTTCTCTGCTACATCTTCTCCAACAGAAGCAGAGGCCAAAGTGTTAGAATCAGACACAGAGGCAGCAGTCCGGAGAGGAGGGCTTATAGCAGGGTGAGTGGCTAGGAACTGACTATGATCCATAGCACATTTGGGTGCCCTGGATTGGGTCACAGGAGCCAGCAGCTGGCAATTGTCAAGGGCTGGAGGTTGAGCAAGGTGATTTGCATTACGTGCAGGGGCCTGAGCTGGACTGGGGCTTTGGACATTGGAAGGAAGATGAGGAAACTGTTTGGCATCAGGCTCAGACACCAGAGGTAGGCTGGAGCAGGACACAGAGGACAGAGATTGTTCTTGCAGATTCACAGCAACAACTGTATCTTCTTCAGAGGACCAAGTCAGGGTGCTTAGGACACTGGAGATTCTGGATCCTGGCTCTTTTTGGTTTAAACTGCAGTCAGACTGATCAAGTAAAGGCATTTGTTGTGTTTCATGAACCATATTTGCTCCTGTTTCTTCTCCTTGAATAATGGCACTTTTTTCTGCGGGGATTTGCTGAATTGTTTCTGGGTGGTTCAGGGGAGTAGAAGTTCTGCCTGGTGTTTGGGGGGGTTCCAGAGGCCCTGCAACAGTAGCTACAGGAGGGCTCCCCTCTAGAGGAAGACAGCTCTCGCATATTACAGGGAAAGAAGATGGGCCACTAAGAACTTTGCGAAAGCCTTCCTCAGAACTAAGGTGTTCATGGGAAGTGTTGGCCTCCCCTGGATCAGTACTTACAGTAGCAGCTTCCCCTGATCTTGGGTCCTCTACTTGTACAGAAGCAGCTGGCTTGGCTGGCTTCTCTACAGAGTCCAGCAGCTTGTTCAGCTTGGTGCCAGGACAGTCCTTAGGGATCACAGAGGCTGCTCCACTAGCACCCTCTTGTTGTGGGCCAGGTGCTGAAGCCACAGAGGTGAACTCTGAGGGTAAAGCTGGAATAAAGTCTTGAAGCTCAGGTTTTCCCAAATTTTCTGTAATGGGATGAGGATCTACGGGATCAGGTGGCTCCAAGTTCTTGGTACCAGAGGAACAGTGTGCCTCTCGGTTCTCTGTGCTAGAAGGTGCTTCCACTCCTTCATGGAATGATGCATCTCTTTTATCAAAACTCTGGGAAGCAATTCCATGTCCATCACTGGGCTCATCCCTGCCCAATCTTGTCCTCTCATTGCAGTCAGCTTCTCCAATGTCCTGACCACTGATAGAAAAGCGGCCAGAGTCTTCCAGGTCTTCTCCCTGGTCAGAGACACGACATGTGTATGGAGGTGCCACCAGGGTTTCACCCACTGGTTTCAGGTTATTTGAGGACAGAGGGCTTATAGGACGTGGCTGACATCCAGCTTTTGTGACATGAGCTTTCAGCAGTGCATCCTCACCAGGATGCTGATCCACAGCGACAGGTTCCCCAGGAAGAAACGCTGATCCTGTTTGCTCAGCCAAAACAACATTCTCCAAGCCACACAAGTCCACCTCATGCCTGGAAACAGAGGGCATCTCCGGCTCAACAGCTGATGACAGAGCCTCCAGTTTGAGCTCTTCCCTCTGCAGTTGTTGCTCCTGCTCATTTTGTTCCTTGCTTTTCTGATCTTTAGACTCCAAACATTTCCCTTCTTCTGGCAAATTCTGCTTTTTGCACTCTTTCTTCTCCTCTTGCTGCTGAAGTTCAGACACTGCTTCCTCCTGCGCTGCTTTTGGATGCTGTGAAGTATCCACTTCTTCAATTTTTTTAGCAGTATCTTTTACTTGGAAGGCACTCTTTGCTGGAGAAGTAGGTCTGCTCTTTGTTTTTCTGTGATCATCTTCAAGGTGAAGGCATTTGGAAGGGGACGAGTTTTCTGTAGGAACCATTACTGTTCCCTGGTCTTTGACCATGCTGCCATTCCTTGTTCCACCAGCTGGGATGTTTCCTTCTGTTTGTACTGAACTTGTTTGGCTGTCATCTGAGAAAGTGGAAGACAGCTGACAGGAAGAGGAAGACTCTGTATTTTGTTCTGAACTCTGGAGTGCTCTTATGCTTCCCTTAGCATCTTCAGAGATGTAAGATTTAGGCATATTCTCTATTGCTTCTTCTGAGGCAGAAGTTGCTGGTGCCACTTTTTTGCTGCTTTGCTTCTGCTCTGCACCAGTATCAACCTCCTGCAAAGAATCCATGGAGATCTTATCCAGAAATGGTTCGGCCTTATAATGTCCCTCTGAAATGGTTTTACATACCAAGAAGCATTTAGGTGTCTCTCTCTGTGAGGAAATTGTATCAGCCAAAGGAGATTGTGGGTGCTGGGCCTGAGGGTCTGAGCCATGGAAAGTCAGTTCTGCCTGACACTGAGGAAACTCAGTGCTGAGGTCCACAGCATGCAGGATGGCATTGCCCAGGGCTGGCCCATCCTGGACTGTGCCAAAAGAAGAGTCCTGGTTGCTTTCCAGGTCAACCAGCTCTATTTGCTTAAGTTTCAGAGAACACTCCAGTCCACCCTCTTTTAAAAGCAGTTCTCCTTCCAATTCTGAGAGTCCCTTTTGAGGCTCTGCATCACCTTGCTCTTGTTCCAGTCCTGCTGGCACCTTTTGCTCAGCGTTAGAGGGTCTGCCCAGCATCTCTGCTGCTTCATCTGGAGTGGAAAGAGAGTCCTCAGGAGTACTGAGCTCTGCTCCCTTTGCAGAGTCAGATGGGTTCGTGCTCATCTCAGCTGATGTGCAAGGGGCATGATGCTCTCTTTTGACTGCTGCAGAACCCCAGGCTTCCCCAGTGGTGCTATTGGCTTCTGGGGGAGTGGTACCTCCCTCACTGGTTTCTTCAGACTCCATCAGTAACACATCCTGCTAAAGAAAAACACATTTTTCTGTTACTACTAGAGTGATATGGCAGATCTAACTGCCTTAAAAGACTTGTAAAAACGGGTACTAATGCAGCTGAATTAAAACCCAAAAACTTAGTGGGTAGTAAGAGTTGAAAAACAAATACCAAGACTAAGAGCAGGTAAGCATCTGATATAACCTCACAGTATGAGAGTAGCACCAAAATAAACCTACTGCTGTCTTTTTAGCTTGACATGAAAAACCAGAAAGTGACTTTGGTCAAAGAGCAAAGATGCCAATGTCTCTTTAATATCTGCACAGCAGCTTATGAGAAGTGTTGGCCATGGCTGGATATCTCAAATATGAAAGGGGATACCAGAAGGCATTCAGAGAACAAGAAAATAATCAAAATCTCAATTAATTTTTATGAGGCACAGTGGACTATCCAGATACTCACGAGCTCTTCCATGGTTAGCTGAGTCTTAAAGATATCTACAATTTCAACACAGAAAGGCCTGTACTTTGGAGCTACTGGTTCTCTTACAGACCTCTATGTATGTATGTGCAACAGAGGGCCTTATTGCAGCTGATCACAGGAAGTGATTAATAGCACATAGGAATGTAAGAATTTGATTAACAGGTAACAGGACATGATACAAGACACGAGATACTTGAAGGCTGTACATCATGTGGGTTAAGAGGGGCACCTCTGATGTGTCTGCACCTATCTAGACTACAAAGAGAAACTATATCATAATTTAGTTTACTCTTTGAGAGAAGGCATAAAAAAAGTAATCTCAGGATTGCTGGACAGTTTCCCAAAGGATACAGTGGAATTTCCAACCCATTATTGCATTTGAAGTTGAGATATGACAAAGCACAAGGGAATGTACATTTGGGAAATGTCTGTGAAAAGGATGGTAGAGTCTGCTTCACTGCTTTTATCCTTCTTGGCTTCTACCTAGCCCATAGCCCACAATCCCTACCTTAAAAGACATGAGAAACAGACAAACCTTAGTGGCTTCCCTCCTTTTTCTTCTGCCTTTGGGACACCTTCTCAAGCATTCCACCCTGCCTTCTCTATTCCCTATCCCCTGCTTATCAGAAATGGCCTATAAAAGACTGCTTCAGGCTGCTTCACAGACATACCCTTGCAGTCATACCAGAGTTTGTAAACTGCTGCAACATTCAGCCAGTCAGACCTCCCCGTGAACAAGGGTTCAATGTTCTCCTCCTTTATCCTATCTTATAGATGTCAAAGTTTCCAGATGCAAATGCATAGTCCTGCATCTTTTGGTCTAAGAAACCACTCCACATGTCTTCAGGTAAAAGCTCACTAGTTGTTTTGTGGCAAAAAAAAACTCCCAAAGCCTGACTCTGGACCATTCACAAAGCTTACGCAAAAATAATAAATAAATAGATCTGTTTCTTCCTCAAAACAGACAACCAAAACTATATGCTTCTCCATTCTTTGGCATTCCTTTTCCTATGATTTTAAAACCAGCATTTTTTCCAGAATTTAAACTGCTGTAGGGGTGTGTGTGTGTGTGACAATTTCAACCTGGGAGACTTGCAAACAGAGAAAGGAAATTCTCTGCATGGAAAGAGAAATCTTTGAGATCCGTGGTGATTTCCTTGTGCTGGAGTTGTTCTATAGCCAAAAGTAACTTCCTCTGATCCCACACAGAAAGTAAAAGCAATAAGGGTGTTATTACAGCTGGACTAATTGTCCCAGTTAACTCCATGACCACAGCATGCCTGACCTGAAAGCTGGTTTAGCTTATATTTTCTCTTAGATCAGGTGAAACAGAACACCTGCTCTGAAAACAATGAGCCCATGCTCTGGAATTTTATCTGAAGTCTTATATACACCTTAATCATGAGATTGTTATAATCCCATAGCTTTTTTTAAAATGGGGAATAATTGAGTTAACAAATCCAGTTAACTCATAAGTTAACTTTGGTCCTGCATACTTTTTTTCTCATGTAACCTTTAATTTTTGTTTAAATTGAAAAAATTGAAAAGACAGCCTTTCTTACAAAACCAGGCCAAAATTCAGATTATTCAGCAATTTAGATTTCCCCGCCCTCACAACTAGCAAGTAGTTGTAAATAGTTAAAATTTCAACAAACACTATGTTTCAAAGAGGTATGTCCATTCAGAGAGTTTCCACAGGGTTTCTGCCACATCTTGCAGCTCTCAGCTAATAGTGAATTACTTTGGTGCTACTAAGAATTTTTGCACATGGGACATGACCCTCAGGAAGAGGTTCCAGCACAGAAAGAAGAGAGGTTGGCAGAGCACAAAAAGTAACAGGGTCATAAACATGTAAGCAGCCACCTTTTCCAATGCAGGAACCACCTTACTGATGTTGTCCCTGACAGGTACATCTACACCTCCCTTAACAAAAGGTCTCATGCTCACATCACATCACTCTTGTGCTCCACTGCTCTTAGCTCTTCCAGCTACCCAACTCGAGTCTCTCTGGCTATGTCACTAGTAAAATACTACTTCTCACAGCTAATACAGGCAGTTTTCAAAAACAGGCTACCCAGAAGCACAGAGACTCTTTAGGGAGACAAGTAGTCTTGAAGGCAAGCTGATGGCTAAGAAAGGTTTACTACTACTGAAGACAGGATGGCCTATAAATGTTTGAACAGCAAGATACTCAAACTCAAGCCCACACTCTGTGAGAGGAAGAACTGATGCTCACTGTGCTGTTACAGACACACACATTGAATTTCCTCTTATTAAGCTCAAAGACCCAGTTTCCACTTCTCTGGCTCTGTTGCAAGGGATTTGGACAGGTGAAAGGACAAGTTTAAATCTGCATTTGGAGCAGTTCCACAATGATGCTAGGAGACAGGGTAAAGGGAGGCGCACAGATCAACAAATGAAAGCTGCCAGTTGAGATTTGTCTTATCCTATTACTGCCAGGTATTTTGCACACCTCAGGGAAAGCAAGAGAGAAGCTTTGGGAAGTGAGGCAGGAGAAAAAGACAGGCAAATTTTCCACAGAGACAGTGGGGGAGGACTTACACATCTGGTCAAGGAAACAGGCTCTTGCTTGAATTCTGGTGCACTGTAGTGAAAGATTGAAATGCTTCTGCAATAAGGTTTTCATGGAGGAAATAATAAAACAAGACTGACTACACCTGTAGCTTTCACATACAAAGGGCTACATACAAGAGCCCAGTAGTTACTGGAAGAGACGGCCTGTGGAGCACTGCCATGTCATGCTCCCACTGCAGCTCAGCTTGGTCCCCCACCTCATCAATGTTTACAAATATGTAAAGGGTGAGTGTCAGGAGGACAGAGCCAGGCATTTTTCAGTGATGACCAGTGATAGGACAAGGGGCAATGGATGCAAACTGGAGCATAGGAGGTTCCACATAAACATCAGGGAAAACTTCTTTACCATGAGAGTGACAGAGCACTGGAACAGGCTGCCCAGAGAGGTTGTGGAGTCTCCTTCTCTGGAGACTGTCAAGACCCGCCTGGACATGTTCCTGTGTGATGTGCTCTGGGTGACCCTGCTCTGGCAGGGGGGTTGGACTAGGTGATCTTTTGAGGTCCCTTCCAACCCCTACGATTCTGTGAGATCCCCAGGATGTGGGCTAGCCATAGCAAACTTTCAATTAACATTTGCAGTAGGGCCAGTAACACGACAGACAAGCACACAGGAGCCTACCTGGCAACTGCCATCTTCTAGCAGGCTACACAAACCCTGTCAGAAACCTCCGTTAATGCTGTTGGGACTTACTGGTCTTTCACATCCCTCTGGATCAGATATTCCACTTGTAATCACTCCCTTGTATGACTCTGTCAAATGAGGACTTTAGCTCACATACACTTAACCCATGGGTAACTCTGGGTGCACAAACTCACTGCAAGCTGGAACTGAGAGAGGGCCACATGCCAACATGAAAACAAAGGGGCAATGTTTGGTGGTACTGCAGTAGGGAGCACAAAATCTGAGAGGTGAAGGGTGTGGAAGGGGGCCAGATAAGCGAAATAGGACAGCAGTGAAACCACTAGTGAACGAAAGATGATGCACACATCCATCCACAGCTTTAGCAGATTACAAAAGGCAATGTGAATGTCATACTTCCTTCCAGTGTGGGTTAATCCACCTGGATGGAGATGACAAACGCTTCTGGTTTTAAATAGAAAGTACCTCACCTTCCCTCCCCCCCTCCTCCAACAAACAAGAAAGGAGAAATAACAAGTGCTATCAAGCACAGACAAGCCCTTCAGCTAGCCAGGAAACAAGGCAACACATAATTAAGTGAATCCCCAAGATCCACCTCCAAAACTGGGGAGAGACCTCACATTCAGTGTGACATCTTCGCCCTCCCTGCGTGGTGCTGGGAGGCTCCTGGCTGGCCCCTGCCCCTACAGCAGAGCAGGCTGTGCTCCCCATCCCACTCCCTGTGCCGCAGGCACCTGGGCAGCCCACACGCCCAATCTGCTGCAAACACACTCCCAGCAGAGAAAGCCCTGCCCTGCAAAGACAGGCTGGGCCTAGCTGCCCTGATGGAGCTGCACCAGCAGCACAAGATGCTCTGCAGCCCACTGGGCTGCTGGTTGGTGCAGCAGGGGCTCCTCTCCTCAGCCCTCCTCCCAGCCTCCAACAGGGCAGTGAGAGCTTTTGGCTGGGAGAGGAGAAAGCCATTCGTAACAAGCCTTTAAGCAAAGTGGACAAGGACACAGATTTTCTTATTAAAACAAAGGTCTTCCCAAGCAATCCCTTCCTTGGGCATATCCTAATGGCATGGCCACAGCTTGGTGCAGAAATGCCAAAGCCAGCTTTACATGCTGTGGCTCAAGCAGGAAGGAGCAACATGCAGGCTCTAACACCCATCCAAGGGACAATAAGGCTGCTATTTCAGCTCAGCTTATTCCTCTCATTCATACAATTCAGATACACTTTAAAAGGAGCTGCAGTGGTGGAGGCTAACTGAGACCCTGCTTTTCTCCACACAAAATTTAAAGCAAAAGAACTGCC